ATTATGAAAAACTTAGGTAAATGAAAAAAAACATAGAGAGAGATATTTAAAATCGTCCATTTCGGTAAATTACACCTAGGTCTTTACATGACGTGTCTTCTCCGTGTTGTCTTTTTCCACAAAATAAAACCATTTTTTGGTTGTTACTTGTTCTTTACTTATTGGAAAGCCTTTCTCGCGTTGAGAGTAAAATTTTAGTACAACTGTCAACCGAAAAGTATTTATTTATAAAAAAACATGTTTAAAACACTGATCTCTTTCTTCTGGACTATGAGATTATGGTAGGAGATACAACAAGAAAGAAGTGACTGTTGTCATTACGATGTCTTTCTTTTAGTTTGCAGGAATATAAACCTAAATAGGTACGACTTACAGCAATAGAAAGGTTTTATCTGTTTAAAACACCTTCCCACTGATTTTTTCATGCAAGGTTTTCAAAGTTTGGCCATTTAAAGCCAAATTCAAGGTCATATTATTACGGGCTTTTTTTTAGCGCGTTTTATTAATTATTTTTAAGTAAAGTGGGTCAACTTTTATCTCACGATAATGCTACATCCTAAAAACTAAAGGTGTTTACACAGCAGGCTTTGCTTATTTTAAGGTTTATATCACATTGGGATAAAAAAAATGCAATAGGCACTTTAACGCTTGGAAGTGCCCAGTAATGTTTATGTACAATTTCTACAATACGCTCTAGTTTTTTGTTATTTATCATATACGTTACAATTTCACTTTATACTTAACTAATTTTAACTAGCTACTTGTTCTAGACCTGTAGAAGGTGGATAATTTAATCAAGTGAGGGGGAAGATTGTGTTTATATTTACATAATATTCCCGTCGAAAACATTTTCATTTACTATTTAGCTACCTACTAGATGATATGTAAAAACACTAGCTTATTTGATATTTAATACGTTAACATTCATAATATATAATAAATATTATCAACAAAAGCAACTTCTCTTGTTCCACTCGTCAGTAATAATAGTAATATTCTATTTTTTATAATTATTTATACGTAGGTAGCGTACATACATGTATTTTTATAGGTATGTCACTTAAATTGGTATCTACTATTCTATTTTCATTTTGTTCCTACTATATTATCGAATCTTCGTTAATACAAAAATTGTGCTATAAAATAGTCCGTTTTTTACAAAACGTTTATGAATTCTATCGGTATAATTAGCGCTACAAAGTTATTATTGCTGATACTAAAACCTTAGAATTAAACACACGCAAAAAAACGTGTTGTCAACATCGTGTTGATACATGTTGTGTAAATAATTGTTTTTGATTTCCCATTTCAGAATTCATACCTTCATTCGCAAACAAACATTCAACATGATATGTAATCTATCTACATAGTTGTATTCTTTTTTCATTGTTTAGGTTTATTACGAGTGAACCTGATCAATGGGGTGCCTTGCACCATACGAATACACCAACAGGAAATACACAGAATAGCCATGCAATATTGCTACTGTTAAATGACACATTTTTATTTGGAATTAATGCCAGAAGGCATATTTACAAAATATGAGATATACGGCATAAGCCGGGACCATTTTTGTAAACTCTTTAATTCATGTATAAATACTAAAATCAATGCTATATAAGCAAACAAAAACTACGTTAAATTACTAAAAATAATAGTAATCCAAAAACCGATAGGAGTATTCTATTTAATCAGAATTGTTAGCAATTATACTCAAACCAAAGGTATGGTATTATAAACGAATTTGTTGCACCAAGTCTGTCTGGAAAACCATCCCCTGTGCTGTATTAAATCACCACGTCATTCTCTCCGCAGCATTGTAACACCTTACTACCCCTTTTGCTGCATCAAATAATAAGTTAAACTTACTTCTCAACCACCCCTGATGCGTCATCAAATACTACAACGTCAAACAGTCTCGCAACCCATCCTGCTGCCTCAAACCGATCTACAGTCTGCTTCATTGCATTAACAGTTTACTGATGCGTCAATTCAAACTCTACCACAATCTACTCCACCACAATCCCATCGAGAGTTAAACATACTTCCTATCAATTTACACGTGAATGCGTCACCAAAGACTATTGCGTCAAACCGCCTTACAATGTATCCTTCTTTGCCACAATAAGTTTATTGACGCGTCATATACCGTATCAAGCGATGAAACATCACTGGGCTGCATCCAATGCTGCAACAAAACTCGCTACAATCTTTTCGAAAGTTAAACTTATTTTCAATCAATGCACACTTGATGTCCACCATAAACTACTGCGTCAAACCGACTTTCAATCCATCCTACTACGTCAAACTGTTTTACTGCCTGCTTCGCTACATTAACAGTTTACTGATGCGTCAATCCAATCTGTACTATAATATACTTCACTGCAATAAAACTTCCTTCAGTTACATCCAAAACGGCATCATGATTCGCCACAATCCGTTCGACAGTTAAGCATACTTCCAATCAATTCACACCTCATGCATCACCAAAGAATGCTGCATCATCAAACCGCTAGGCGATCCATCCTGCTGCATCAAACCGTTCTACTGTCTGATTTGCTACATTAGCAGTTTACATTAATGCGTCATGTACCGTGTCAAGCCAAACACCACTACAATCTACTCCACTGAGATAAAATTTCGTTGGACAATATCCAGAACTGCATCGTAGCTCATTACAGTCCATATGCAAGAATAAAACTCACTCCTGATCAATCTACCTATGATGCAGCACCAAGCTCTACTACGTCAAACTGACTTTCAATCCATCCTACTACGTCAAACTGTTTTATTTCCTGCTTCGTTACATTAATAGTTTACTGATGCGTCAATGTAGAAATAAAATTTTTGAAATCTATGTATATTGTGTATAACTAATACTGATGGCACCATCTGTAGTTGTTTTCCGCAAGTAAACACAATATACACCATGGTCTACAGAGTGATAAAGCTGCGCCATCCATCAACAAAGCTCGAAGGTGTTTTTGGCTGAAAAGTTTGAAATTTTGAAAAAAAAATTAAGAAAGCGATGTAGCGAAACGGTTGAAAGATTTTGAGTTACACAAAACATATCAACAAATATCTATGTGATTCTGTTTTTATAGCATTTTCAAGGATTGATAGTATTTTAATGAAAAAATGAAACGGTTTTATACCAACAAGGTAAAATGTACCATAAAATGCTTGGTGGAAAGTTCTTTATCTTAGGGGTGACCAATTCTCCTTTCAACTCTAGCAAAAATTGAAGAAAAAAAACACCCTATGACTCCATAAATAAAAAGTACGAAATATTTTCTTATCCCCTTCTGATGCTATTATTTCTTTTAGGTGCTGTTTCATTATCAACTGCAGAATATGGTTTGTAAGTAGACGGATTAAAATTAAAAAACTTTTAAAAGAATTTGAATTAGTTCTTATAGTCTTCGTAAAATCTGTTGTGTTTCTGTAAGAACATTTATAAATTAAATTACTCAATGTAAAACTTTGTTTACCGTGTTTTAATTAATTAACGTAAGAGATGCACTNGAGTATGTAATAAGTAAGGAGTTGGTTTTTTTCTTATAATATATTGTTAGCAAAAAATAACATTATAATATAGCTTTAATAATATATCTATCTAGTAATTTTAACAATCTACAAGATATATGTATAATTAACAATATTAATCTTTAATAAACTACTATCCAAAAAATAACAAGTGCCTGATAAAAATGTTTTTTTTTCTTTTACAAATATCAACCAATATTTTAATGTATCGTTTCTCCTAAAACGTTTTAAATGTAGTATGTTTTGTCATGAACAAAATGGTTTATTAATATAGATAATATGGAATGTTTGTTGCATGTTGCATGTTGCCTGTCACATATTAAAACATACACATACCTATCGTACTACATTGTTACGTCTTTTCATTCAGTTAAACTCAGAAAAGGGTGGAAATATGGGATAGCGACAGGGACAATCACATCACTCTTTCATTTCAGTAAGAAGCGTATTAATCCTTACAAATCTAGTTCAAATGTTTTTTTTTTACGTAAGTACTCTACATAACTAGTGATTGAGTGAACAATGGAGTAGAACAAAAACAACTTTTGGAGGGAATAAACGTACGTTGAGGAGTGTTACTTCACTATCTTTGTTTTTTAAAGTTATGTACCACTTTTTTATTAAAGAATTATGAGTATCCTCTTTTTAAAAATTGAAATTTCTCGTTGCTCTAGGTACACGGAGAAAACTACATTTTTATAACAACGCAAAAATTACAATTTTTGATTGTAAATTTGCCGTAGAAATAGTAGAATTCGTTAGGTAACTTGTAATAATCTCAGTTTTGACATGTTTCTATAAAAGGTTTCTTAATTATTACAATTAAATTTGTAATATCAACTAAAACGCCTAGTATATGTATTTCTGCTGCGATTTTATTTTTTAAAATTCGAGTCCAAATTGTAATTTTTATTATTTTCGCTTACGAAGCAACGGGCTAGTGGGATAAATTGTAAATATGGCTTTAATATTTTAGGTAAATTTTCGTTTTTCATTTTCTCCGTGTATAGGTACTCATTGAGGAATTATCGTTATACTTTTATTAAAATTTAATTTATTTACTTATATTGCCCGTTTTGATGTTAACACACGGTATATGTTGATAAGGAAAAAACAGATTGCATAAAATGTTATGTGTAGATGTGTCCTAGCCAAACTAATCACAACGGCAAGTAAATGTATGAACATGAAAGACGATTTTTAATGTTCTTTCAACAATGTTTCTCCGACTATTATACAGATATGTAATAGAAACACTCTATATGTATAATAGCTCATTAAAATGCAGAATCGGATTATAAATTTCAAAACAACAAAAAATACATTAAACATTGTTTTCTTTTCAATTTAATTTTGCTCAACAGCAATAGCAGTACCGATTAATTGTAAATCAACGTACTTTAACCTGACGTTTCGTTCTCAATTCAGGGAGGCATCTTCAAAGTTTACTATAGACACATACGGGTTAGATATCTATTTATTTATTTATTTATCATAGTTAGGTGAAAGTTATTTTATTAGAAAAAGAAATCAGCGTTACTGAAGATGCAGCCTTTAATATGTTGATGACGAAACGTATGATTTGCGAAATGAGACTATGACTACATATTTCTTAATAAAGACCAATTAACAGTTTTGACTGGACAATTGTTTTTAAAAATTACAGACGACTTTTACAGCACGCCATTATAAATAGAACGTTTTTCTCCATTTAAATAGAACGTGTTGTAAAATATGCCGTCTGTTTTGTCTTTTCCTTTATAATATAGGGTAGATATCATGAATTTAATTTATATAAGGTACACAAGTTGCAAAACGCTACTATCATATTAGGTAGACACTATAAGTAGTTCTACATTTATTACAATGCAATACTGTTTGCTTATAACAATTTAAATGACGATTAAAATGATGGTTATCGTACTATATATGTAAGTATCTTACATTATACTAAATTTATCTAATAAAATGTCTTATTAGGTTTTCCTTACTTTACATTGCTGTTATAGTCAGTGAATAACTTATTTATTTATTTAATTATTTATTTGTACCTCTCCTGATGTCAAAGTTAACTTTTTTTCGTGCGTTTTTTTTTACCTTTCTACGGCTCAACAGTAATACACCTGTTGTACCTAACTATTCTTTGCATCTCTTTTAAATTATATCTAAGTTATTGTAGGTGATACTTGTGGTGTTGTAAAATGCAAATTGCAATATATAAATAAACTAAAGACAGGTCTTCGTTATTTTACTAGTAGGTAATCTCTGTTTAAGTATTTCATATATAGACACATGCATATACTGTATCGATTTTATTGACTGATCTAAAGGTTTTCATGGCAAATTGATTTTGTAAGCTGATCCTTGCTGTATCGATCTTTTGGTCATGTGACTCCATAGATAATGTCATTGATTTTCTAATAAATGAAATTTCTTATCGTCGTCTTGTGATTGAGCCGTGATTTTCGGTTGTGATCGTTATTATAAACGATGGTATTTTTCCATATATGTGTGTGGTGTTATGCAAGGTTTTAAACATCAAATTGAATTGTTTTTTTTTTTTTTAACTATAAGTACTAAATAAGAATTTTGGGATATAATGCATATGGGCAAGATAAATGTTATATTTAATTAATCAAAACTAACATATGTATAATATGTTAATGTCTACATAAGTAGTATTTGATAATGTGGGATGATTTTTTCACTAATGTGAATACAAGTTATACATAATCATTGTTCCCTTTTTAAGTAGTTTCATTTTCAGTATCTTTCTACATATGTGTTTTATATGTATGTATGTATGTATGTATGTACGTGTCTTGATAACACCACAACAACTGCTGTTTATCAAACGTTTAAAATTAACATGTAAAATTTTTTATAAATAAGAACCTGTAGAAAATGTTGTTCACAATAATAATACTACCCTTTTGTAGTTATGATGACCCTTTTTTACTCTAAAAATATCAATAAAACGTACCCCTAGTTTTAAGAACCGTCGCTACCGATTTATTAGCAATTTCTTGCATTAAAGTTGAACAATGTGAAAAATTCGGCAGGAAGTTGAGAAAGCACAGACAGAAATACTCTGCTTCTGATTACAGAAAAGAAAAAACCGAATAAAAGTACCTACATAGTCAGTTTTTTGCGAAGAAGAATCGAATTGTAAGAGAATGCGTACTACATAAGCAATTTGTCAATGATTTTTTCTTGGGAATGGTTTATACTAGTCCAATTATGAAAAACTTAGGTAAATGAAAAAAAACATAGAGAGAGATATTTAAAATCGTCCATTTCGGTAAATTACACCTAGGTCTTTACATGACGTGTCTTCTCCGTGTTGTCTTTTTCCACAAAATAAAACCATTTTTTGGTTGTTACTTGTTCTTTACTTATTGGAAAGCCTTTCTCGCGTTGAGAGTAAAATTTTAGTACAACTGTCAACCAAAAAGTATTTATTTATAAAAAAACATGTTTAAAACACTGATCTCTTTCTTCTGGACTATGAGATTATGGTAGGAGATACAACAAGAAAGAAGTGACTGTTGTCATTACGATGTCTTTCTTTTAGTTTGCAGGAATATAAACCTAAATAGGTACGACTTACAGCAATAGAAAGGTTTTATCTGTTTAAAACACCTTCCCACTGATTTTTTCATGCAAGGTTTTCAAAGTTTGGCCATTTAAAGCCAAATTCAAGGTCATATTATTACGGGCTTTTTTTTAGCGCGTTTTATTAATTATTTTTAAGTAAAGTGGGTCAACTTTTATCTCACGATAATGCTACATCCTAAAAACTAAAGGTGTTTACACAGCAGGCTTTGCTTATTTTAAGGTTTATATCACATTGGGATAAAAAAAATGCAATAGGCACTTTAACGCTTGGAAGTGCCCAGTAATGTTTATGTACAATTTCTACAATACGCTCTAGTTTTTTGTTATTTATCATATACGTTACAATTTCACTTTATACTTAACTAATTTTAACTAGCTACTTGTTCTAGACCTGTAGAAGGTGGATAATTTAATCAAGTGAGGGGGAAGATTGTGTTTATATTTACATAATATTCCCGTCGAAAACATTTTCATTTACTATTTAGCTACCTACTAGATGATATGTAAAAACACTAGCTTATTTGATATTTAATACGTTAACATTCATAATATATAATAAATATTATCAACAAAAGCAACTTCTCTTGTTCCACTCGTCAGTAATAATAGTAATATTCTATTTTTTATAATTATTTATACGTAGGTAGCGTACATACATGTATTTTTATAGGTATGTCACTTAAATTGGTATCTACTATTCTATTTTCATTTTGTTCCTACTATATTATCGAATCTTCGTTAATACAAAAATTGTGCTATAAAATAGTCCGTTTTTTACAAAACGTTTATGAATTCTATCGGTATAATTAGCGCTACAAAGTTATTATTGCTGATACTAAAACCTTAGAATTAAACACACGCAAAAAAACGTGTTGTCAACATCGTGTTGATACATGTTGTGTAAATAATTGTTTTTGATTTCCCATTTCAGAATTCATACCTTCATTCGCAAACAAACATTCAACATGATATGTAATCTATCTACATAGTTGTATTCTTTTTTCATTGTTTAGGTTTATTACGAGTGAACCTGATCAATGGGGTGCCTTGCACCATACGAATACACCAACAGGAAATACACAGAATAGCCATGCAATATTGCTACTGTTAAATGACACATTTTTATTTGGAATTAATGCCAGAAGGCATATTTACAAAATATGAGATATACGGCATAAGCCGGGACCATTTTTGTAAACTCTTTAATTCATGTATAAATACTAAAATCAATGCTATATAAGCAAACAAAAACTACGTTAAATTACTAAAAATAATAGTAATCCAAAAACCGATAGGAGTATTCTATTTAATCAGAATTGTTAGCAATTATACTCAAACCAAAGGTATGGTATTATAAACGAATTTGTTGCACCAAGTCTGTCTGGAAAACCATCCCCTGTGCTGTATTAAATCACCACGTCATTCTCTCCGCAGCATTGTAACACCTTACTACCCCTTTTGCTGCATCAAATAATAAGTTAAACTTACTTCTCAACCACCCCTGATGCGTCATCAAATACTACAACGTCAAACAGTCTCGCAACCCATCCTGCTGCCTCAAACCGATCTACAGTCTGCTTCATTGCATTAACAGTTTACTGATGCGTCAATTCAAACTCTACCACAATCTACTCCACCACAATCCCATCGAGAGTTAAACATACTTCCTATCAATTTACACGTGAATGCGTCACCAAAGACTATTGCGTCAAACCGCCTTACAATGTATCCTTCTTTGCCACAATAAGTTTATTGACGCGTCATATACCGTATCAAGCGATGAAACATCACTGGGCTGCATCCAATGCTGCAACAAAACTCGCTACAATCTTTTCGAAAGTTAAACTTATTTTCAATCAATGCACACTTGATGTCCACCATAAACTACTGCGTCAAACCGACTTTCAATCCATCCTACTACGTCAAACTGTTTTACTGCCTGCTTCGCTACATTAACAGTTTACTGATGCGTCAATCCAATCTGTACTATAATATACTTCACTGCAATAAAACTTCCTTCAGTTACATCCAAAACGGCATCATAATTCGCCACAATCCGTTCGACAGTTAAGCATACTTCCAATCAATTCACACCTCATGCATCACCAAAGAATGCTGCATCATCAAACCGCTAGGCGATCCATCCTGCTGCATCAAACCGTTCTACTGTCTGATTTGCTACATTAGCAGTTTACATTAATGCGTCATGTACCGTGTCAAGCCAAACACCACTACAATCTACTCCACTGAGATAAAATTTCGTTGGACAATATCCAGAACTGCATCGTAGCTCATTACAGTCCATATGCAAGAATAAAACTCACTCCTGATCAATCTACCTATGATGCAGCACCAAGCTCTACTACGTCAAACTGACTTTCAATCCATCCTACTATGTCAAACTGTTTTATTTCCTGCTTCGCTATATTAACAGTTTACTGATGCGTCAATCCAATCTGTACTATAATCTACTGCACTGCAATAAAACTGCCTTCAGTTACATCCAAAACTGCATCATAACTCGCAACAATCCGTTCGAGAGTTAAGAATACTTCCAATCAATTCACACCTGATGCATCACAAAAGAATGCTGCATCATCAAACCGCTAGGCGATCCATCCTGCTGCGTCAAACTGTTCTACTGTCTGATTTACTAGATTAGCAGTTTACATTGACGCATCATGTAGGTACAGTGTCAACTTAAACTCCACTACACCCTGCTCCGCTGAGATAAAATTTCGCTCGACTATATCCAGAACTGCATCATAGGTCACTACAGTCCATTCAAGAATAAAACTCACCCCTAATCAATCTACCTCTGATGCAGCACCAAGCTTTACTGCGTCAAATCCTACTATGTCAAACTGTTTGGCTGCCTGCTTCGCTATATTAACAGTTTACTGATGCGTCAATCCAATCTGTACTATAATCTACTTCACTGCAATAAAACTTCCTTCAGTTACATCCAAAACTGCATCATAACTCGCAACAATCCGTTCGAGAGTTAAGAATACTTCCAATCAATTCACACCTCATGCATCACCAAAGAATGCTGCATCATCAAACCGCTAGGCGATCCATCTTGCTGCGTTAAACTGTTCTACTGTCTGATCTACTAGATTAGCAGTTTACATTGACGCGTCATGTACAGTGTCAACTTAAACTCCACTACACCCTGCTCCGCTGAGATAAAATTTCGGTGGACTATATCCAGAACTGCATCATAGCTCACTACAGTCCATTCAAGAATAAAACTCACCCCTAACCAATCTACCTCTGATGCAGCACCAAGCTTTACTGCGTCAAATCGACTTTCAATTCATCCTACTATGTCAAACTGTTTAGCTGCCTGTTTCGCTATATTAACAGTTTACTGATGCGTCAATCCAAGCTCTACTATAATCTATTCCACTGCGATAAAACTTCAATCTTTGATGCAACATGAAGCTTTACAGCGTCAAACGTTCTTGCCATCGTGCTGCGTCAAACTATTCTACAGCCTGCTTTGCTACATTAGCAGTTTATATCCAAAACTGCTTTTGAACTCTGTTACTTGGACTACATGCTAATATTCTCAGAAAATGCACTCCAATCAGTATAAAAACCCATTACAATCTATTTCATTGACTCGGGAAACAATTCCAACCGAAGACGACCTTTGGACCCGAATCAGAACAGCATGAGTTCACCATAATCCGTTTAAACTCCTCAAAAACTCACTAGAATCCATTCAAATGGATCAATAACACTGTAATCCTGCAGACTGTTAATTTCCATCTATTCCGTATTTGTAAGTCAAAATTCACTGTAATTCTTTATAATTCTTTCTAATTCGTTTAAATGCATCTAAAACTCATTTTAAATTCGTATAAATTTTTGAGTAGAAAATCAGACTGCAATCCATTGGAATGTATCAAAAACTCACTGTAATCCTCGTCGAGATTTAGTTTGGTGTATCAGAATTCGCTATAATCCGCAATGATACATTAAAAGCTCATTAAAATCTTGTAGGCCTTATCAAATTTCGCTGCCATTCCCGCTGCTGCATCAAAACAAAATACATTGCTTCGTCAATTAATGCTTCAAACTACAAAATAAGAAAACGGATTCTTCCATGCAAATCCAAACTACTGCCAAAAAAAAAAAGAAAACGATGGTGTTCAAATTACCTACAGCATATCGTATTTGAGGTTTAGAACAAAGCAATGATCAAACGAAAGCGACCAAGAATAAAATACAAAACGTGGTATAATGCAGCATATAAACGTGCTTGACTTTTTTTATGAATAAATCACCTATAACGATATATATATTATTCATATGTAACACGGTGTGACGCCACGTTTTCTTGCCAGAAACGATTCATCATTTCTTCCATTCCAACAACGAACATGTGCGCGAGATAATCTTAGGATCATCGTATGTAGTAATTAATAATAATAATTAACACTGATCGATGAACGTTGTTTAATTATTTAATTATTTACTATGCGCCCCCTGGTGCTGACACAAAAGACGAATGAAGGACGACGTCCTGATGGATGACATATTATGAAAATTACAAAAAAACGCATACACGGTATGTCGTATGATAACAACAACAATAATGACAAGAATAATAATTAATTAAAATGATAATCGAAAGTTTGACGATAATGCGTAGTGTATTGTAACATTTAATGTTTCCTGATTTGGATATCCCCCCTTTTCCCTCGTCGGTCCGTCTGTTTGTCGGTTGTTTTTTACTTAGAAAGGACACGTAAGATGGTCGTATTCAAATAATAGAGAAACCGTAACAAAAACGAAGTAGAGTAAGAACATTGTGAAGCCAAGACCCTTGTTCATCTTCCACCGGAAGCAGGCAATCGATAGTATCACGAATAACAACATCATGAACAAAATTGTGATCGAACACACCATACCGATTGAATTTACCGCCACGGGCTTCCCGTAGATTATGCCATAAAGGAACCAAGGCACTGGTAATCTGAAACGGTAAGAAAATTGTTACAACATGAAGCAGAGAACTTGGCAGAATGCGAAGATGCGGTCGACGGTATCGATCTTAGATTGCGGGAAGAGGAATTGGTTTAACGACAAGAAAACAAACTGAAAGAAAAGAAAACACAACTCAAAGGAAAACCCAAACTCAAGTAAGGAATCCAAACAAACTCAAAACAGGGAAAAACAAACTCAAAGAAGAAATCCAAACTCAAAAAGGACTAGACAATGAGGAAAATATAACAGTGGCGAAAAATATGCATACGTGTTCTAGTGATTTCATTAAACTTAAATGAGTACAGCAACAATGCCCTTAATTTGCTCATTATCGAATATTTCGTCATGTCAGTGTTTACAATTTAATCGTTTTAAAAATCCACAAATGAAGATACTTCAAAAACTGTCAAAAATATTGAATGTTATCACTTAACAGCTTAAGATTTTTGTTACGCATAGCACAATAACGAATTGAATTAAATTTTATCTTTACGATGTACCTCAGGGATTATATTGCGTCCCTTTGCTTTTCGCCCTCTGTATAAATAATGTGTTGACGATAATAGTTTTATATTCGAACAAATTAATCATAAATGCAGTAATTGTTTTGTTATAGTACGATGTGCCATAATGTATTGTAATAATTTATGACCGATAAATGACGGGGTAGGAAAGTTTTTTTAATAACTTACCCGACTGTGACATCGAAAATGTTACTGCCAACGGACGAGGACACGGCCATATCACCGAATCCCTTTCTCGCTACAATGACGGAGGTAATTAAATCAGGAATGGAAGTACCCGCTGCAAGGAATGTTAAACCCATCACTTCCGGTGGTATTTTTACCGTTTCTCCCACTACAGTGGCCCACCATACCATTAAGTAGGAATAAGCAGCTATCCAAGCGATACTCCCGAGAAACGTTACAGGAAACCACTTTTTACCTTAAACGAAAATAAAACTTTTGATTGTTGTGATCATCTTAGAAGTAGCTTTCTTATCACAGCTTTTCTTTCAAAACTGAATCATCAAAGAGGTATTAATTAATAATAGCAATAGCAATCTATAAAATTTAGTATAAACTGCGATGTGGTCTACATCGGACAGTACGGAAGTACGATAAGAACCAGTTTTAAAGAACACCAGAAACAACAAGTGTACAGGGATTTAAAACCGTTACATTCAAAATTAACGTAAAACTGATAAGCAATGCTGACACTTAATTTTCTATAAACAGCTACAAGATAGGCTGTCATCAAAATAATTGTTAACATTTATTACAGATTTATTTCTAACAATTTAAGTTATATACGATTAAAGGTAATGATAATAATGTTCAATAAATCATTATTATATCACCCTATTATGGTTGAACGAATAGCTTCTTGTTAATTTCATACTCTGTAGGGTGGCAGCTGTTACATGTTAAAATTAATCCATAATTATTAAAATAAAACACACAAAAAGTTTCACGAAAATATCTTGTAAACACGAAAAAACTGTTTCGCCACACAGTGTCATCATCAATTCTTAAAATAGCATTCATCCATTGAGTGTGTCTGACGCATTTGCCAAGGGCAGTTACGGGCACGCTTGGAAAAACAATTACATCGACGGAAAAATTAACAAAACTGCATTCACCTACTTAGTCGACCATTGTTTGATTTCCCCTGTCGTCTATCACTATTGTACATGGGGTAATTAAAAACAGATGCGATTAGCAGCATGTTGGCAAGCTTGTAAATTTTACCCACGATGGTGGTCGTTAAACACACGAACGCCTACGAACAAACTACCCCTTTGCGTTTTGTCTACATAAAGGTAATAATGATGCCCTTTCTCCCAATCCTTCAGGCAACGCATTGCCCAATTAATTAATTAATTAAACTTTTTAAACATGGCAACCCCGAGATAAAAATGTTCAGTCTCTCAGAGTCTCTGAAAGCGAGACTCGAGTCTCCGTCTCTCATCGAGTCTCTCTGGTGTCGCTGAGAGAGACCGTCAAAAAAACTGTTTAGCGTCTCTGAACGAGAGACTCGAGTCGCTCATAGAGAGATCCTCATTTC